TAGGACAAGAATATTGCCTCCAGCATCACCTGTTCTCTTTCCGGACACTCTCTTGCCTCTACTTCCAACACACTCACCGCATCCTCTTTGGGGAAGTGTCTTTTCACCTCAGGAATAAGAGAGGCTCTGATCATAGCACATACTGGAAACTGCAGCCTTCCTGCAAGGCAGGGCTAGGCTACAACAGTTAAGCAAGAATCATTTCCATATTACCCTTGACAATTTCAACACAAATGTACTCACAGTATATTTATCTTCAAAGCTCTGAAGATGTTACTTTTTAGACACTTAGCATGTAAATCTTCTTTTAGAGGCTCCTGTTATTGTCTAAACTGCATCACTACTGGACACAACTGATAAATTAGAGACTACTTCTGTTGTGCTATCCCACGGAGGATCCCAAACACTGAGGATTCTCTGCTTTTAAACTCCTTTCACAATATGCCACATTGCTGCTACTCAGCACATAGCATACTCAACCACTTCCTGCTCCCACAGGAGAAATGCCAGATGCCAGCTCCCATCACTTACACACACACACACACATACCTCTGTGCAGACGGCCAACCCAAAGCAGACCCAGCAACATTTACAGCCACATACGAGGCACGCTGACCCACACAGGCTACATACAGTTGAAGAGAAAAGCCCTTGTGCCCACAAAGCACCATTTCAGAGCCTTTCCCCATTTCCTACGGGGGACCCAGAGCCAGGCACAGCTCTGTGTTCTGGTAATAAGAGCACCTAATGCTGCTTGGCAGGGCTTCCTGGATGGCTCAATGGGAAAGAATCCACCTGCCAATGCAGGAGACATGGGTTTGATTGCTGGGTCGAGAAGATCCAGGGCAACCCACTCCAGTATTCTGGCCTGGGAAATCCCATGGGCAGAGGAACCTGGCGGGCTAAAGTCCATGGGGTTGCAAAAGAGTCGAACATAGCTTACGACTGAAACAACAGCAACACTGCTTGGGATCAGCCTTTAATGATTTCACATGAACCATCTTATTTAGCTTAAATTTTATAATAACTCTCAAGACAGTATTATTACCGATGGTTTACTGATGACTGTACGGGGCTTAAAATACTCACACAGTTTGCCCAGGGTTGTATACCTTGATAGTAACAGAGCAGGAACTCAATGAAATGTCCCCTATCTTCAGCGAAGCTTGAAGTCTATTTGTGAAAGGAGAACACTGCAGATACAAAATAGAGATTTCAAGCTAGATAACAGGAGGATGCCCCATAATAGGGGGGAAAAAGAAAATACACCTCACGTCTCCCATGCCATTTTGTACAATTAACAGAAAAGAAAAGAAAGAAAGTGAAGTCCGACTTTTTGCGACCCCATGGACTATAGTCTACCAGGCTCCACCGTCCATGGAATATTCCAGGCAAGAGTAGTGGAGTGGGTTGCCATTTCCTTCTCCAGGGGATCTACCTGACCCAGGGATCGAACTCAGGTCTCCTGCACTGCAGGCAGACGCTTTATCATCTGAGCCACCAGGGAAGCCCACAATTAACAGAAAGAGATGTGGAAAATGTTAAATTACCAGAGCTATAACCAAATAGAAACAGACAACACAAGCGTGCAAGTAACTTAAAAGTCCTGGTTCCACATTGGAGGTACAAAATGCAGCATTCCGTCTCCCAGCTCTCATCCAAAATCCACCCACACTCTTTCCTCCCAGGACCCTTCTCTGACCACTGCAGACCCCACAACACCCTCCAGGCCAAGAGTTCTCAAACATGAATGTGTTAAGAGTCACGGATTCCTGGGCCCCACTCATAAAGGTTTAGACTCAATAGGTTTGGGCTGAGGCCCAAGAATCTGCATTTCTAACAAGTTCCCAGATGCTGCTGGTCCATGAACCACAATTGAGCAGAACTGCTCTAGACTCTGATGGGACCTTTACCACACCAGGGAGAACCTGATTACCTTTTCTGTTAAGTGATATTGGTTCCCAGATGCCTCTCCCCTACCCTCTCCATAGTCCTACCATCTTCAGAAGCAGCCTCATCCCCAAATCCCAGGACCAATCTTGATCACAGGCTGAGATGGCTGCCCTGACTAAAATGGTCTCCCATCATGTTCAAGGCGTAGTTGTTGTTCAGTCAGTACATCATGTCCGACTCTTTGCGACCCCATGAACTGTAGCCTGCCAGCTCCTCTGTCCATGGGATTTCCCAGGCAGAAATACTGAAGTGGGTTGGCATTTCCTTCTCCATCAAGGTAAGGGAAACTTGACCTTAAAACTGGCTTCTCTCATCGTCACTTTTCTCTATTTCTTACTCTAATCCCCTAATGCTCCAGATTTCTCGACAACGGGTGCCTGCCTTCTGCTGGCCAAGCTTCTTCCCTATTGGATCATGTAGTCTTAAACCACCAAAGCAGCACTTACTGTATTTGTACCTGCTGACCCATTGTCTTGATGACAAGTGTCTGCTGCCCAGACATCCTTGTTTCATCCAACCCAGATTCCCTATCTCTGAGCTGTCCCTGCCTGCTAGAACATCAGCTCCTGGTCCTGTTTCTCCCCCTCACTGCTGCAGCTCATGTGGACAGAGAGCTCCGTTGTCTTAACTATTGGAAAGATGAGTCACCTGCCATGTTGAGCTTCCTTTTCAGCACCTAGAGCTTGGACAGTTCCCCCCGAGGGCCAAGAAGAAACAGATCTTAAACCATCCCCACTTTTCCCCCGGCTTGGGAGAAACAGGCCAAGCCTCTGAGATGTGGTAGTTTTGTCTTATGCTTTGCTTTTATTTCCCCTGCAATGAGTTCTTGCCCATTTAAGTGTGGAGGTCAGGACCCACGATGTGTGTGCATGCCAGCTGCATTAGCCTGCACTCCTTGGGTAGTCAATAAACGCAAAACAACAAGCAGTTTGATCCCTGGCCTAGTTGATACCTGGAAATACATCATCCAATTTGGAAAGCAGGATACCTTTTAATATCCCTCCCAGTACCCAACACAGGGCTTCTCACAGAACAGGCACTCCATGAATATTGAATGAGTGAAAAGAACAAATGGATGAGGGAGGCCAGTGGGGTTGCACCCGGGTCTCCTTTGTGGTGTCTGGATCAGGATGCTCGGCCAGAAGAGAACACCTTCCAATCTGCAAAAGCTGAGAGAATGCCTCTAGGCCAGACTCCCAACTAATTCCCAGCACAAAATTCGACCTGCACATTCAGATGAATTGTGGCTTGAAGACTGCCATTACACCAACACAGTGGTTCTCAGGTTTGTTTCAGTATGTGGCTATCCTTAACAGAAAAGGTTAGTCTAGTCCACACCCCCTCTCCTTACTCCAGGCCTCCTTTCTTCCTTATTCCTAGTTGTTGCTGTTTATTGCTTGGTTGTATCCGACTTTTTGCGACCTCATGGACTGTAGCCCACCCGGGATCCTCTGTCTATGGGATTTCCCAGGCAAGAATACTGGAGTGGGTTGCCATTTCCTACTCCAGGGGATCTCCCAACCCAGGAATCAAACCCTCATCTCTTGCGTTGGCAGGCGGATTCTTTACCAGTGAGCCACCAGGGAAGCCTTACTTGCAAAGCAAAAGTTAAAGTGCTAGTCGCTCAGCCATGTCTGACTCTTTTGCAACCCCATGGACTGTAGCCCACCAGGCTCCTCTGTCCATGGAATTCTCCAGGCAAGAATACTGGAGTGGGTTGCCATTCCCTTCTCCAGGAGCAAAAATGCCATGGGAGCTCTGGAAGGACAGGCATAGGGCAGCCTCTGGGCTGCAAGCTGTGGGTATCCTGAAAGGTTGTCAACGTTCCCTGCAAGGTTGGGGGGGTGGGGGACAGAGAGATGTGTGATGGATTACAAAAGGCCAAGACTTCAGAACAGCACACAGCCTATGGGGATGCTCTGTTGGCTGAGTTCCTCTGCTTCCAGAATTCTGGGGAGGGCGTCTGGCCAGAGATGACCCCCATGGATGCCAGGCTTGCAAGCAGGAAGCAGCTCACAGCAGATTGCCCATGCTGAGAACTCACACTGGCCAGGCACAGATGCAGGAGGAGGGAAATGGCTGACACTGCAGGAGACGTAAGCGCCCCATGTCTGGGATGTTTACCTCATTAGGACGTTTTACGTAACATCAGCCAAAAACAGAAAGGGAAAACAGCTGGAGGGAGTCCGCTGGAGCTCAGACCTGGCTTATGAGTCTCAGATTCTTCCAAGGCCAAAAGGGAACCTCTACGCAGCCCCTTCCTCCCTGGCTTGGTTATTCCATCGGCAAAGAAGTCAGCACAACATGCACTGGGTTCCTAGGAGGAAAACTCTTGAGCCACCCTCCAAAGAGCATTGCAGCTGATATGAACAAAGAGGCAGTTATTGTTGTTATAATTACTGTTATCATCATCCCAAGCTCTTGTGTCCACACATTCATCTTGTCACGACCAGGGATGGCTGGGAATGAGGGGCCAGAAACCTAGGCAACTCCTGGGGTATGAGTCCAGAGGTCTGAATAGGAGTAAAGTTCAGAGGGCTTGCAATGTGGGAGACCTGGGTTCGATCCCTGGCTTGGGAAGATCCCCTGGAGAAGGGAAAGGATACCCACTCCAATATTCTGACCTGGAGAATTCCGTGGACTGTATAGTCCATGGTGTCACACAGAGTCGGACACGACTGAGCGACTTTCACTTTCAGAGAGCAGATGAGCAGGCTTGGGACCCAAGAGGTGGGTGGTACCTGGGGGTGGCTGGAGGGANGGAGGCGGTGGTGAGCCCTCAGGATGACAGCAAGGGGTGAGGAAGGATGTCAGGGGGCGGAGATCCTCTCTCCTTCCTTCCCTCCCTGGCCAGCTGGAAATGTGCTGTGTGACCATCCAATTTAATTAGCTGAACTTCCTTGATAGTCTTGATAGAAGGAAGCTTAAAAAAAAAAAAAAAAAAAACTCGCGCTTTTTCGGCTCTCGGCCTCTTGAAAGATAATGGAGAGGATCTGATTGCAGGAACATGAAGCCCCGGCTCCCTGATTTCCCACTGCCAGGGGCAATCAACTATGAGCCGAAACCTCCATCTTGAAAACGCCAAGCAGAATGAGAGGATCTGAGCTCACAGGCACAGGGCTCCAGAGTCTCGGGGCTCGAACCCCCGGGGGAGCCTCAGCGGCAGCTGCCCAAAATCCCTGACAAACAGAGTGGGGGGCCAGGGGGAGCAAGGGCTGTCCTCCCCACACCCTCCAGCGGTCCCTGCTCCGCAGCCCTCAGGCAGGCCCCCCGCCACCGGCCCCCACCTCAGGGTCACTGGCGTTGCCCCAAGCACAGCTCCACTCCATGCCAGCTTCTCGTTGCAGAAGTACCCACATCTCAGCATCACTCCCCCCAGACCCAGCTTTCTCAGCCCCCCTTGGCTTCCCCAGGTCCTATCAGAGGCCCCCCCCAGACCCCTCCTTCCCACCCATCCATCCTTGCCCTGCTACTGGCTGAGTCCAGGCCCCCCACCCCTGTGCTGAAGGGGCATTCCAAAGCGACACCAGTGACAGAGAACACAAAGGCATAGCCACTGGGGATGGCCTCAGGGGCTCCTGGAGGCGGCACGGGGACACAGAATCCTCTAAACCAGCACACAACCTGAGCTGAGCTTCAGAGCTGTGAAGTCCGTAGGGATGCGTTCTAGCAAGAGGAGGAAGTTTCACCGTTTAAGATGAAACTGCACTGCCAGCCTGGGTCCCCGGAACACTGCCAATCTTGCCCTGACACTCATCTCCTGCAGCCACCAGCCTCTCCGCGCTGACCAGGCCACACGTGCCCATCCTGCTCCAGCCCTGGAGGTGGTGAGAGGATCCAGGAGGAGTGCAGTGCCCCCTCGGAGCCCAACAAGGCTGGACCAACACCACTCAGGGTGGCAGACAGGCAGGATGATAAGGTGGGCTGCTCCCAGCAGACAGTCAGGTCTGGGCGGGTTGAGGGCACAGTCCCTACTATTGAAGGAGTTCTACCTTCTCTGGGGGAGCTCTTGCCAGGGTGGGAAGGAGAAACGGGCACATCCAACTCTTCATCAGCAATTACCATCTAAGAGAGGTTCAGAACCTTGTCACCAAATCACTCAGGCAACTCAGCATTCAAACCTCCATTGCAGAGACCACCCTACACACACACACAGGTCTGACTCTGACCTTTACTTCCCAGAGTGATGGTTATTATCTCCTTACATTTGGATTTGTAAACCTAGCAACCTATAAATTAATTTTATTCTTTCACCTGCTAGTCACAGGACCATAAGGTGAATGAGCTCTCAGTCAAACAGTTAAGCCTCTCATTGGTGGAATTAACTATTCAAAAATCACAGCATAGTTTTAAACCAAATAGTGCTTTTCTTACTTGAAAAAAAAAAAAAATTTCACAAGAGTGTTTGATGATCACATGCAAATTCTTTTGTTTAAATTTAAACTTTTTATTCACTATTGGGGTACAGCTGATTAATAATACTGTGATAGTTTCAGACGAACAGTGAAGGGACTCAGCCATACATATACATGCATCCATCCTCCTCCAAACTCCCCTCCCATCCAGGCTCACATGCAAATTCTTGATGAAAATGTATGTAATCAATATAACATAAGCTTCATCAAAGTCTGAAATATTTGCCCAGAATTATTTCAGCAGAAAAAAAATTAAATTTTTTGCTTTAACAAAACATCATTTACTGAGAAAAATTATTGAATATAAGATATTATGGTGAAATTATAAAACAATAACCAACATAGCATTAAATGAATTTATTTGATCCCACTAACAATCTTAAAGAATACAGGACTCTCAAAGAAATCAGAGTCTGATTTTCTTTTTTTAATTTCTAAAGCTCCATCATAGAAGTTTGCTAATCTTTGACCATTTCTATTTTATTTCAAAGGGGGCTTATACGCCCGCTTCCTATCTAATGTCATCAATATCTGACCTCTGAAAACTAAAATTGACATTTACTATGCTTCCCCATGGGCTCCCCTGGTGGCTCAGTTGGTAAAGAACCTGCCCACCATGCAGGAGCCCGCCTGCAATACAGGACACCTGGGTTAGGAAGATCCTCTGGAGAAGCAAATGGTAACCCACTCCAGTATTCTTGCTTGAAAACTCCATAGACAGAAGAGCCTCGCAGGCTACAGGCATGGGGTCGCAGAGTCGGACACGACTGAGCACAATGCGCTTTCTTTTTTCTTTCTGTCTATGGTTCCCCATTGTGTCAACATTGCCAATTACACTTAGCAGCAGCTTCAGATACGACCGATGTTCACCTGCCCTCTGATAAAAATAGCTGCCGTGGATGTCGGGAACAGCAGACGCTCTCTGCTGGTTTCACAGCCCATCAGGCCGCTTTGTGAAACAGGCAGATGAATCCCACACCAAAGGAGAGCCTCGACTCCACCCAACATGGGGTGCCTAAACTTCCGCATGCATCAGTCGCTGAGACGGCTTTTATCAGTTAAAAATAGATCTGTTCGCAACCCCATTCACCACAGCAGAGGCTCACGCTGGATTCTGCAGAAGTTAAGGGCATTCCAGTTTTAGAACAAGAACCCCAGAGACACAAGGCTCAGAGAAGGTCCAAAAAGCTGAGCATCAGCCTCCTCTCGATCTTTGCTAACACCATGTAACACACTTTCAGTGATGTTGCCATGGGTCGTCCATCTGAATTCCAGATTCTCTGCTGTGTGCACAGCCAAAAAAGCTCTACCAGGTCTCCCATGAAGTGCATCTGTGCCATTTACACTAGAATAACTCTCTTTCTTGCTGAAAAACTTCCACAAGCTATCTTAATTGCTTGAAGCAATTACACTATATTGTAATTAGTGCATTGCCTTATAATTATTTGCTTTGAGAATATCTCTCTCCACTCATCCCCGCCCTCCTCCACCTCCAGACGTGAGCTCTTTGAAAGCGTTCTCTGTGGCCTGGGTGTCCACCATGTGCCCTAGTACAACAGAAAAACTTGGTAACTGGGACTGAATTGAGTGTAATTGAATGGAAGCTGCAATACCAACAACTTCTTCAATTCAATGATGACTTCCCCTCCAGTTATATTTAAGTGGTTATTCAACCAAGCTTGCCACGTATCTTGAACATCCATTGTAGGCGTCTATTAAGTGACTATCCCAGACCAATGCAATGTGACAAATAAGCAGTCACGGTCAAGGATTTATATACTTGGCTTCTGGTATGTCTACCTCCAAAAAGGAAATTAATAACCCTTACTGGTGTCCCTAAGGCAAACCTCACATTAAAGTTAAGTATGTGGGAAGCTTAGCTCAACATCTAGCACACGAGGACGCCCGTTGGACATTCACTCTCTGTCCTCAGGGTCTGGTTTGTGTCCACCAGTGATAAAGCTTGTAGGGGGAACCATTTGGTTGATGCCTTCCCATCTACTCACACCTGCCCCTACATTATTTGGGGCCAGTGGCTCTAAGTAATACTCATCCAGACACCTAGTCACAATATTTTTCCTGAAACCAATGGATCATTGCTCTGTTTGTTTAATTTTACTTGTCTCTCACCCCACCCATCAACAACCAACCCAAAAAGTGGAACGGACCCCGTGGGCTCCATGCATGCCAAAGATAACTAGGCAACAATAAAGAGAAGAAAGATGGGTTTAGCCTTCATCAAAGCTTACCCACAATAGGATCCTTGTTTTCAATAAAGAGCCTCCTCCATGTATACATGGAAACTGAAACTTAACCTTGTGACATTATGTGAAAAAAAACTGGAATCGGGAAGAAATGATAAGTGCACCAGTGGTGGCGTGGAGCTTACTTACAGGAAGAATGTGTTCTCATGAACCATGCCTGCAACAAGGAGAGTTATCCTTACACAGACAAGCAGGTGGATCCCCGTGGAACAGAAAGGTAAAAATAGTCAACCAACTCTGTTTGCTCATTAAGTCATCATCTTATCATATTAATAATTTAAGTCTCTGAGAATCCCTGACCAAAATCTTCCTTAACCAATGAAGGCACATATTCTGATCTTCGCTGAGCCATCACAGGAGAACCTATGTCCCAAAGCCTTTCATTCTCTGGGAGATAAACTTGTCAGTGGAGGACCAGGCCCTCCTGCTCAGGGGCCCCACCCAACTGCAAATTTTCAGTGCGATACTACCTGCAACCACCAGCAAGTCTTAACCCACACAGAGGATGACACGAGGGATTAGCAGGTTGCCACAATAATGCCCCAAGCAACTTGGAGACAAGCTAGACTTGAATCCCAGGAGCTGGTTCAGTCAGGTAGGTGAAATCTGAAATGCCTACCAGGGTAGCAAAGCAAGACCATGGATCATTGTCTAGCTGCTAATCGTTTTTTGTGTCAATTGTAGAAGCAAACTCCTCAAAACTGCAATACAGTCAAAAACAACTGGGGCAGTTCTGACCCACAGACATTCAGACTTTAAGAATTGCCACCACGTTCTAAGACTGTCCACAGGTCTCTGATAGAGGTCCATCTGTCCATCCAGACTGAGCTGCTGATGGGCATCCAACCTCCATGCCCTCCAAAGGTCACAGACAAGGAAAGAGACTCAGGGGTACTTACGCAGAGCGTGCCACTCATCCTGGCGGATGGTCTTCGTGATGTTGAAGGTGAGGTTCCTGGGGATGGTGGCTGAGGAGTAGTGGTATTTGATGTACGTGCACCGCTCAATTTCTCCTGGAAAAGAGACAGGAGGCCAAATGTTAATAAGGCAGCAACCATGTCTGGGGCAATTTCCAGGATCTGTTTTTCTATCCTGGGGAGAAAGACTTGTTTCATATTGGGTGGGCCTGGTGACACTGACATTTTGTAAATACAGGGTAGTAACCTCAGCTCCAAAAGAACAAGAGAGTAGAACAAAATCAAACACCATCAATCTAGATGGCACTAGTGGTAAAGAATCCACCTGCCAGTGCAGGATTTGCAAGAGACTTGGGTTCGATCCCTGGAGAAGGAAATGGCAACCCACTCCAGTATTCTTGCCTGGGAAATCTTATGGACAGAGGAGCCTGGTGGACTACACTTCATGCGGTCACANCTGCAATATGAATTTTACTAGGCCCTCCGGGTAATTCTGTTGCACACTTGAGTTTGAAAACTGCCGCCTTCGAGAATCTAATAGAATTGCCAGTGAGTGAGTTTATAAACCCGCCAGTTTGGCCAAATTCAAAAGGTAAGCAAGATTAGGAGTTCTTGGTCTCCTGCAGCCTCTTCTATTGGCACTTACTTATCCGGGGGATATTAAAACTCAAGTGTCAGGGCATCATGAAGAATCAGGAAAGGAGTGATTTTTAAAGGTTAGGGGTTTTAAATTTTGGTTTTGCACCTGAATGGATTTTGATGGTAATCCATTTTGCACCCCACTGATTTTCAATTTATAAGTAGTGGCACCTGATTGAATTGTCTGACCCCTGGCTCACTGTCAGCAGGGAACCTGGCAATAGGTGGAGTGCAGTAATTTAGACAGCGCCTTATTGTAAATCATGTCTGGACGACCACCCACTGTTAGTTACTGGCAGACACTCCTGCAATGGGACAGACCCTGTCCAGAGGCAAAGTTTTGAGGAAAGCGTTAGGTACTCTTTTTTTTTTTTTTTTTTAATTTCTCAGCTCCTCTGCCTCTGACCTCTTAGCCGACACACATCCTGAAGTCTCTTATGGGCTCCCCCCATGCCCCCCACAACATCTCCCCACCTCTGTCTTCCTTCTTCCCTCACCTCCTACACTTCTAGAAAAAATAGTCTTCCTGACAGTCTCTGCTTCCAGAACCCACATTCACACCTCATTTCTATAACAATTTCCATTGACAGCATCAGTTCCCATCCAGTCTACATCACAAAGCCCACGACCATCGCCAAGGCTTTCCGGGGCTCTAATGGTGCCCCTCCTCCCTGGCATCCAACTGGTCACCGAATTCCAATCGTTTTATGTCAGAAATGTCCCTGGAATCCAGCCTGCCTGCCTTCTGTCCCCACTCCCTCCATCATAGCTGTGAGAACACAATGACCGATCTCAACAGCCACACTGAGGACTTATGAAGTAGGAGAGACTTGCCAAGTGCCTAGTGGACCAGTGGTTTCCAACTTAGGTCTTGGAGCACATAGAAAAGATGTGTGCAAGGCACCGGGTGGGCTGCCGGGCCTTGTCCAGCCTCCCCATGGGCCAAGGGAGCCACATCCCCATAACCCATTTGTGGTTTCTATACGTGTCATCATCCCTGGGTCAGGAAAATCCCCTGGAGAAGGAAGTGGATACCCACTCCAGTATTCTTGCCTGGAGAATCCCATGGAAAGAGGAGTCTGGTGGGCTATAGTCCATAGGGTCACTAAGAGTCAGACACGACTGAGCGATTAACACTCACACTTACACATGTGTCCCACTGGTGGCACACTCTATTATGAACAATGCCTTACTAATCTCCCTATGACCCAATTAAGTAGGTGCTACTATACTCCTCACCCCTATTTTACAAATAAAAAAATGGAGGCTCAAAAAGATTAAGTGACTTGCAGCCAGGGCCAGGCTCAGAACCCAGGATCGCCTTATTGGAGTATCTCTACTGTCAGGTCACCCTTCATACTGCCGCTCAGACTGTACCATAGAAAGAAAATGCAGTCTATCATGCAGGGGATACACCCCACACTTCTGGCAGAAAGTCCCAGCCCCTATTTAGCCCCAACCAGGATCCAACCTAGGCTCCAGTCAGGTGCCCTCCCCACTCTGCCCCATCGAGGTTGGATCTGCTCACAACTCTGTCCCTCCTCTCCTCCCCACCTTTGCTTCACCAGGTACACACCTCCAGCTCCTCAGGAAGCCCCACTCACATCTAGGACAGCACCCAGGAGTAGGCATCCAACGGCCCCCCCTCTCCCCCTCCTTGATCGGGTCGTCCTGCTGCAGCCAGCACACCAATGGGCTGTGATTTATCTATTTACACGCCTCACTCCTCCACTGAATTACTAGTTTCTGGAGGGCAGGGACTTGTCTTATTCATTCATCTTTATGTCCCTGGCCCCCAGCACAGGGTGAGCACCAAGAACCTATGCTTTGAAGAAAGTGATGAATAATACAAGATGCCCTTTATAAGATCACAGTGGGTAAGGAATCCAACTGCTTCTATTGTATGCAAGGGATTAAAATAATGGAGGCAAATTAGAATGTCATTAATAAACGGAGGCGACTGTTGCAGAACTCTGGGAGCCTATGGCAAATACCTCTTCCCTGTCTGGACCACGTAAGGAGAGGCTCGTCAGTCACATGAACACAGAACAGCCTCTTACCACACTTTGTAAATGTAATCCAAGGGACAACTAGGTCAATGGTTTCAGGGTAGAAAAAAGACAGAGAAAAGAAAGAGAGGGAGATATTAGGGAGAAAGGGTTTTTACATGAATATCATGAGCAACCATGTGGGACATACACAGTTGAGCGGACTGTGCACTGCACAAGGATGCCTCTCGGGGGTAACTGCGTGCTGACGTACAGCCGCTGCTCTGCTTGCAAAGACCTGCACCAGGGTGGGGTATGCAGGGGATGTCTCAGCCAGAGAGGCTGCCTTCATCTAATTTGCACAAAGATGGCATGAGAACTAGGAGCCACCCTATGCTCCATAATTTCAAGATCAAACAAAATACTCCCTGGGCCCAGCTTGGAAGACACGAGATGGAATCCCACTGGTCACAGCGAGATGAGTGCCTGTCACTCATATCTGAAAGATGCACCTGATTTCCTGGCTGAGACCAGGTTCTCTCAGCCTCAAAACACACTCAACAAGCGGCCACAGGTTCCAGGCTTCCTGAACCTCCCCCGGCCCCAGTCTACCAGGCCAGCCAGGGAAGAGGCCACCTGACATTCAACAAGAGAAAGGAGCTGACGGACAGGCGCGGTGGGCAGCCGGCCAGGGAGCTTGGCTGGAGAACTTCCCAACAGCCCCGCTGGAGGCCCTCACTATTTGCTTTGCCTCGGGGATGCAAGCATCCTGCCTTTGACAGCAATTAAATTTGAAAGACTCAAATATTGCCTGAGAAGAAAGGCAAAATATTTACCCATGTGTACACCACAGGAATCGAGAAGAGGGCCCTGGGAGGGAGGTGATGAAGGCTCCAGGAGCGGACACAGCCCATCTGAGTGAGGGGCAGGGTATAAATGGCCAACCTCTCACTCCTCCCACCCACACCTCCCGCCAAGTCCTCCCAGAGCTGAACCCACCCAGAAGTCAAAGCACAATGCAGCCTCTGAGCCCAGAGCAGGTAAAGATGGAACTGGACTCACCTGGACTCAAGGGACAAAGGCAAGCATCCAGCCCTCTCCCCTTCTACATCATCACTCCAGCTCCCTCTAGTCCAACAGGAGCGCCTCCCTCCTCCCTTCCACCTCTCAAAGTCCTCAGTGGCGAAGGGAGACCCGGGAACAAGGAACAGGGGGACACACTGTTCTCATCCTTTCTCTCCATTTCAAATGCTTTAAGACCCAAGGCATGAGTCTGGCAATTCACGTCAAGTCCTGATGTGGTCCCTGCACACAGTAAGTGCTCAACAAATACTACTGGGTTGGCCAAGAAGTTCACTGGGGCTTTTTCTTAACGTCTTATGGAAAAACCCAAACTCTCTGGCCAAGCCCACAGTCATGATGAAGAAAGACCACAGGCAATCAGAAATAGTATCAGCAATGGGTGCATCACATTACATAGACACAGAGGCAGGGGGTGGGGTATGCGGGTGAGAAGAGGAAGAGAGAGAAATTTCACACGCAGTAACCCTAGGAGACTTGTAGCTCAATAGCCGACATATGCTGGGCATATGAGAAAACATAGGAAACAGAGGGGAACAGAAGAGACCCGCCCACATGGTAAACTCTGGATTCTCACCCCACCCTACAAGGAAATCACAGGCGAGGTTCCTTTCACATGCATCTACTATCAGCAAGGTGTGGTTTCCAGGAGTCTACTGCTCCAGAGTTATGCATAGTAAGTGGAAACCTTAGGCAGGGAAATTTTAGAGGCAGTGCTAGGACTCCGCCCCATGGCATCTAGAATCACCCCCCATAAACAGGTGCCACTTAGGTTCATGCATTAGAGAGTCATTCCTTTGGGTCAGACATTATTTTCGTAGGCCCTTATTTTTAAAACTCTTTTCAGTCAGTCCAAAGGGGATCGTCCCTAGTCACCAGTGCCTAGGTATGGATGAGATCCTGAAATCCCTCTCTTCTAGACTAGAGAGCTTCCCTCATAGCTCTGCTGGAAAAGAATCCACCTGCAATGCAGGAGACCTTGGTTTGATTCCTAGGTTGGGAAGATCCACTGGAGAAGGGATAGGCTACCCCCTCCAGTTCTTGGGCTACAATTGTGGCTCAGCTTGTAAAGAATCCACCTGCAATGCGGGAGACTTGGGTTCAATCCCTGGGTTGGGAAGATCCCCTGGAGAGAGGGAAAGGCTACCACATTTCAGTATTCTGGCCTGGAGAATTCCATGGACTGTATAGTCCATGGGGTCACAAAGAGTCGGACACAACTGAGCAACTTTCACTAGACGAGAGGGACCCTCAGCAGCAGGGTACCCCTAGAGAAGAGAGGCTGAGAAAGGCACAAGGATCCCAGCAGCTCATGGGGGCGGGGGAATGTGCTATGAAGGCAAACCCACAACTTCACAACCATATCTGGCGCTGACCAGGGTGAGCCTG